GCATCGGCAGTTCCTACTATCTCATTTATTACCTATTCCTAATTTCTCTCAAAACACTGATCTTGAACGACTGCAGTCTGAGAGAAGATACACCCCACACTGCTATTAGGGAGGGAATTCCAGGATTTTGACCCAGTAACAGTGAAGGGACAGTGACACATTTCCAAGTAAGGATGGTGAGTGGTGTTCCCTGTATCTGCTGCCCTTGTCATTCGCGATGGTAGAGGTTGCAGGTTTGGAATGGGTTGTTGGAGGAGCCTTGCTGAGTTGCTGCAGCGCATCTTATAGATGGTACACACTGCTATCTCTGTGCATCAAATGGGGAGGCAATGGCCTAGTGGTATTATTGCTGGACTATTAATCCAGACAGCCGATAACATTCTGGGGACCCAGGTTCAAATCCTACCACAGCAGAGACGGTAGAATTTGAATTCAATAAAATATCTGGAATCAAAAATCTAATGATGACCATGAATCCATTGTCGATTGTCGGAAAAATCCATCTGGTTCACTAATGCCCTTTAGGGAAGGAAACTGCCATCCTTACCTGGTCTGGCCTACATGTGACTCCAGTCCCACAGCAATGTGGTTGACTCTTAACTGCCCTCAGGGCAATTAGGGATGGGCAAGAAATGCTGCCTAGCCAGCGACCGTGAATGAATTTTAAAATAAACAATCATTGACTGAGGGAGTGAAATGTTTCAGATGGTGAATAGAGCCTCAGTCAAGCAGCCTACAAGAGCCGGAATGGTGTTTAGGTTATCTCGTGCTGTTAGTGCCATACCTCACTCACTCAGGTAAATTTCCATCACACTCCCGACTTGTACTTTTTAGATTGGGCACAAAACTCATGACTTGTTCTAGCAGCTATGACATTTACAGAGCTGTTCCAGTTGAGTGCCTGGCTCCCAGGATATTGAAGGTGGGATATTTAATGGCGATAATGTCACTGAACGTCAAACAAAGGTGAACAGACTCTCAGTTAGAAATGGTTATCAGCAGGAACTTAATAAGACTAGAAGTTTTATATAATGTTCAATCAGTAACACTGCAGATTACAGACAGCACCAATCCTTCCTCCTTCTTTAAACAATATCCTAAATATCTCGCTCCAGATTAACAACAAGGATATGCATATACATTGAAGGGATACATGTCACTTTGAACATCCACCACCAGAGAGTGCCATTCTCCAATTTTACCATACAACACACAGGTTGGCTAAATACAACTGGATCTTACATAGCACACAGCGATTGCCAAACTTTTGAAACCACATTTCATACATTACTTCCAAACAATCTTCTATGAAGCCAATAATTCTTTTTACAACATGAAAACCGACACCTTTCTCCCCTTCTGGCCTTGCACAATGACTGAGAGCCTGAATCCTGAAGTGTAATTGTGCAAATCTCAGTGAAAGCAGGGCTAAGACATAGACAACTTGCTGTTCGCAACTACTATTTATTAACCTAAGGAGGGACAGCTCTGTGAAAGTACACTGGAGAGGACAGTATGGGGCTGTAGTGCTGACATTCTCAATCAAAGCTAACACACACACACACACACACACACAACACAGAATTATACCAGGATACTGGAGATCATCAGCGCTATTGAAACAGTTACCTAGCAAGGATTCAACTCTCCCCAAACCAGGAGCACTGCTACTAGCTTGATGGTCATGGCTCTCCAAAACCATATGCCACACCCTCAATTTCTTCTTACGGTCCACTGATCTAGAGTGGCATAGCCCTTTGACAATCCCATTTCAGGGTTAAGACCCACTCAATCCCAAATTATGGGGTCACTGCTTTCATTTATCCAGTCTGCACTGCATTAGACAATTAGCTAGAACAAAGGGGGACACAGTTAGCCACAGCACTATTGTGTTTAGGAGGGCACAGACTGGTGGGTGTGGTGCGGTGCATGTGAATATTAGGCACAATCAGATACAGTGATCCTTGGTTCAACCACCCAGGCAATCAGGTGACAAAGGGCCCTGTGTAATGTAACAGAGGGGGTGACTAGGTCATCGTTAATGATGCATAACCAGGAGGAGGAAACAGGAAAGAATATCCACAAAAGTGAGCATCACGAACACAGTATTTTACCAAAAGAGATCGTTGTTGGAACATGAACTTCCTTCTATCGATGCTAAAGTAACAAAGGGTTGCTTTATGGGTGGTTATCTTGTAAACGTTATCATTCTTCTCGGGTTATGCCAATTAACAAAATTCTAAGTGGAGAGTAGTGAGATAATTGCATGGTATGACATCAGCCAAGTAACTGCAGTTTCCCTGTTGATAAGTCAACAAAACTCAATTGTGAACTCTCACAGCCTGTATGCGTACATCAACAATGGCCTGGGAAGAATAGTCTCATACACTTTTTGTAAAGATTAAGAAACATCTTCTGGTCTGACACACCTCGTCCTGTCGTGTGGGATTTCACCTTTACAATGGCGCGGGTCAACTCTCGCTCTGAATCAGAGTTTTGGCAGCATCAGCCGTGTAAAGCCACAATTCAACAGCAAGAGAACAAACAATAGGTTTCCACAAGTTCTTTGTCAAAAGGGGCAAGAGAGGAAAGTAGTTCCAAAATTTGACAGGAAATAGATTGTACAGTTGAAACATTATGAAAGAACCTTTCTCAAGGCAGCTCTCAAGGAGGAAATGATTTTTAAACCACAAAACTGACTATCCCTTAAAATAAACAGTGCAGTGCAGAACCCCTTACAACAGGAAAACAGGCCACTCTGCCCAAAATACTATTTCTGAACCCCTACTCCTATGTACCTTCCTTGTACACGGCCATGCCAGATCTTTAGCTCATCATTAAGTTTGGTATTTCAGCTAAGTATTGAGGAGGTGCTGCACTATCAGAGGGAGCCGTCTTCCAGACAAGATTTTAAATTAAGAGTGTCCTCTCGGGTAAAAATCCCTACGTCACAGTTTAAGCAACAGGGAGTTATCTCCAAATCTGAGCAATCCAATCAGTATTACTAAAGCAGGTCAACTGGGGCATTTATATCACTGCTGGTTTATTGGACTATGTCATAGGCACATTACAGTATTTAACTGGCTATGAAGCACTTTGGATCGCTCTGAAGTTGTGATAAAGTGATATATAAATGGGAGCATTTAGTAACCTATTCTTAAGTGTTGACATAGATCCACCTTAGTCACTGGCTCTGATAGTACATTCCAGAACCTCAACCTCTAGTAAAACATTCTCCTGCTCTTACATTTAATTCACTGTGCATGCACATGCAACATCATGCTAGAATGCAAAAACAAATACACAATGTCACTTTGGAATGAAAGCCTATTAGATTTATTCCTGGGATGACAGAGATGATCTTTGAGGAGGAATTGAGTAGATTGGTGTATTATTTTCCTGGGCTTAAAATAAAGTGAATTAATTAAAACACAGAAGCCCTTAGAGGGTTTGACAGATAGATGTTACATGGCTGTTTTGTCCTAGTTCAGAATCCAAAATTTAAAGAAATTATAATCACAGAGTAAAGGGGTTGTTCATTTAGGACCGAGATGAAGTTAAATCCTTCACTCAAAGAGCTGTGAATGTTTAGAAGTCTCTACTCCAGAGATCATACGAACATCAGAAATAGGGGCAGGAGTAGGCCATCTGGCCATCGAACCTGCTCTGCCATTCAATAAGATCATGGCTAATCTTTCCATGGACTCAGCTCCACTTAGCCGCCTGCTCACCATATCCCTTATCTCCCTTACTGTTCAAAAATCTATCTTTGCCTTAAAAACATTCAGCAAGGTAGCCTCAACTGCTTCACTGGGCAGGGAATTCCACAGATTCACAACCCTTTGGGTGAAGAAGTTCCTCCTGAACTCAGTCCTAAATCTGCTCCCCCTTATTTTGAGTCTATGCCCCTAAGCTCTAGAGCATGGACAGTTGTTGAATACATTTCAGACAGAGACTGGTTGATATTTGAACACTAAGAAAATCAAGCAACGTTGGGACAGTTGGAGTTCATGTAGATGTCAGCCATCTTATTCACATCAATGAGGGAGCAGGCTCAAATGGTTTCCTCCTGCTCCAATTCATGTGAAGTCACATTTTATACTGAACAATTCCATGGAATACTTCACTGGCGCTCACACATTTTGGCATTCTCTCCTCCTTTGATTAACCTACTTTTGTTGGTTTCATTTTTCATTCCTACAGCCTCCATTTGGCCTTCTCTTTAGTTTAGTTTTCTAAGCTCTGGTACTGACATTTAAAAAGTTTCATTTTTAAAAGGCTCTAAGTCATTCCACACATTCCGTTCACCCAATTTTTAAAAAATCCCACAGTACAAGTTCTTTTTCAAATTTCTCTTCCCATCTCATTCCTCTTTCCAGAATATGTTCTTATCCAATCTGGCATCTTTTCAGTTTGCACTTTAAAATGAGATCACATTGTGGTCACTGCTCTGGAGGTGCACACCATTAGGAACAGTAGTAGGCCATCCAGTCTTCAGCCTGTTCTGCCACTCATTTGCCAGGGATCTCGATTATCAGTAGAGACAGCATAATGACACAAGACACTGAGTGTAGTGGCCCCTTGGTAAATATCAAGGAGCTATATTAATGAACGGAAGCAATACAATCAAAATCAATAACACAGATGTTGGGCAAGAGGTTAACAGTTGATGGTGAGGGAGTTTGATTAAGATCAGGAGAGTAGTCAGTACTAGGGTGTTACTTAAAATATGTTAATTTAATTCAAGACACTTATTAAAAATCTCAAATATCAATGCACATCCATAGTTACTGGCTTTGGAGGGGGTGCAACAAAGATTCACCAGACTGATTCCTGGGAATGGCAGGAGTGACATAAGAGTAGAGCCCTGGACTGGTTGGGACTATATTCACTGGATTTTAGAAGACCAAGTGGGGAGCTCAAAGAAACCTATAAAATTCTAATAGGGCTAGACAGGGTAAACACAGGAAGGATGCTCCTGATGTCTGGGAAGTCCAGAACCAGGGGTTACAGGCTAAGGATATGGGATAGGCCATTTAGGACTGAGATGAGGAGGCATTTCTTCACCCAGAGAGTGGTGAACCCGTGGAAGTCTCTGCTACAGAAAGACCAAAACATGGAATGTTTTCAAGGAGGAGTTAGATATAATTCTTAGGGCTAACAGGATCAAGAAGTATGGGGAGAAAGCAGGAACAGGGTATGGAGTTGGATGCTCAGCCATGATCATATTGAACAGGGGAACAGGCTCAAACAGCCAAATGGCCACTCCTGTTCCTACTTTCTACGCACTCTCAGTGCCTGACACCATACAAAGGACAAGGCTTCTTTTTTTAAATTGGTGGGTCAAGAGAAGCCAGGGATGGATGGAGTAGATGGACAGATAATGTCTAATTCGGGCTTAAAAGACCAGTCTCCAGGCAGGCACTACCACCAGAAGTACATTACCACCCCCGATGCTCAATGCTTACCTCATTTCTCTCTCTTCGTGCTGTGCAATCAAGTTACTGTAGAAGTTTTCAAGGGTGACCTTTGTAATGGTGACCCGCTCCTTTGTGTGGTTGCTCATGCTGGAGTAAGAGGTGGTCTGCCCGGTCATCGCCATGACTACCTGCACAGGAGCAAAATATCCAACATCAAATGATGCAGGTTACAAGGAATATTTGACTTTTACACACATCGACACTTGATTCTGCAGCAACAGACACCAGTGCTGGGCTCTAAGCCCAACTGATTCAACCTTCAACACCCACGGATCTAACTTTTCCCAAAGTTGGAGGGACATTTCTGAATTTTAATCATGATGCTTCCTGACCAGATGTGGCGTTGGTAGCGTATTTGTCTCTGAGATTGAAGGATGTGGTCCAAGACCCACTACAGACACAGAGTGTAAAAATCTAGACCGACATTCCAATGCTGTGGTGAGGAAGTGCTGCATTGTCGCCAGGGGCTACCTTTTGGATGGGAGACTAAACCATTTCCTGGGGGGAGGTCAGTTCCAGGAGGCTGATGCCAATAGCACAGATTCAGTTCCAACACTGGGCTGAGGTTACCATTTTGGTCCTATCTTTTCAACCTCACCCCTTGCCTGAGACATGGTGACCCTCAGAAAAAAAAACACCACCAGTCGTATCTCTCTAATGAGAGAGCAGCCCTCTGGGACTATGGCAAATTTATCTTTAAATGTAAAAGGTCTGGTCACATGGCACCAAAGCTCCCACGGCACTACTGTAACTAAGAGCAAGGGAGCTGTTCCTGGTGCCCTGTTGAACATGCTTCACTCAGTCAGCATTACCAAAATCAATCTGGTCATTATCATGTCACTGTTTGTTGGAGCTCCCTGTGCACAAATTGGCTGTCTGATTTCTTACATTACAGCAGGCACTAATTTTGCAAAATGATTCCATTGGCTGTAAAGAGCTTGGAGATATTCTGGAGGTCATGAAAGATGCCAAATACTTTGCCAGGCTTTCATTCAGGTTCTAGTTTCTAAAGATGGCAAACTTGGTCTCAGATTATCAGTACCATGAAAGCAACAGGCAAGCAGAGTGTGTGTCAGCTCAACTCCTGTTTCCTCTGTTATTCCCAAAAGCAGCACTGCCCTTTATTACGGACCTCTGACAGAACGGTTTACTCAGGGATACACATGCTTCACCTTCATCTGTCCTCAGTATCTCTGATAGTCCGAGTTCCATGGTGGCCCTCCCTCAGTCACCGAGCTCTGCGTTATAATACTGACCCCGTGGGTTCTCCACCAGTTACAATGCTGCATCAGGTGGAGGACCCCTGTCTACTTCCGGAGGTATAAGAAAGCCGAGGGCTCTTTCTGTTCAATAGATACTATGTTTGGACAAAAACAGACAGTGCGCATGTGGGCCTGCAGTTTCAAATTGACAGAGAGCTTATCCAAAGGTCACAGGTCAAGTACAGGTCAACGATTTGCCCGTGTCTGAAGTTGATTGTTACTATGGCTGACAAGAGGAAAACTCAGCCAACTTTCAAGGAGGACACAAAGAAAATCATCTAGAAGGCACTAGTAAAAGGCCAGCAAGAGGAGAAAGTCCAGGAAAGAAAATTACTCCATCTGCATTCACCAAGTGACGAAGCAGGTTCACACTGAACTGGCATCTTCAAGGGCACGAGCATCATGAACTTGTTCGTCAAAGGTATTAATCGGCCACATCGCAGGGAAGGCTTCCTATCTGGCCCATTACAACAAGCACAGCACTATCAATTCATGGGAGATCCAGGCCACCATGTGCCTACTGCTGCCCAGGGAGTTGGCCAAGCATGCCACAGAGGGCACAAAGACAGTGACCAAGAACATCAGCTCCAAGTGAAACAACACTGAAAAAAAAATGTAGGTCCCCCCAGAGGGAATTGATTCAGCCCTTCCAGCCAGAGCTGGATCCTCAGTTGCAGCTTTCCACTCATCATCATTCCCAGTTTTTCCCCAACAATCGCTCTCTATTCTTCCTGTTCAAATATGCAGCCAATTCCATGTTAAGCAATTGCGCAGCAAGAACAGCCATGAAGGGAAACAGTCTAGTCTTTCACTTCCCTTTTCATTCTTTGAGTGATAATTTCCTTGTTTAATGGTTCACCAACTCACAGGAAACACTTACACTCTCAAAACCTGTCAAATTTCGAAGGTCTTGGATTTGATCCATGAACTTCTCTGCTCGGATTGTTCTAATTCAAAGCTATTTTGTGTTACTAGAACATCTCATTCCTAGTATTGCTTGTAACCCTTCACTTCACCCTTTCCACAAATACGAACAATCATTAACAGGACCGGGAAGCTACTGGCTCACTTTCTAATTTACATCCTTGTTGATTATTAAACTGACTAGGCAGCTGGCCAAGGACATCACAAACCAGGGCAGTGTGTGCAGGGCAGATTCAGTCCATTAACAACAGTATTACAACAGTCCAACAGAATCCCAGCTCTACACTGCAACTTGCCTGAACAGGCTAATAGCAACAACCTAATAGCAACAGCCTACACTAACTTGATATTCTTGCTGCTGAAAACTCCACACACGCGGGAAAGTAACTGATAAACCGCAATGCTGCTCCCTATCTACAACACACACCATTTACTGAAGGACACAACCACCTCCCCTCGACAAACCATTCAAAGTCACTGTATAGGAGTGTAATTTGACAAGTGACTTAAAAACTTCCTCTTTGACCGAATGTTAGGAAATATTGCAGAGGGGAAAAGAGAGGTGCACAGACGTGCACCCACACGCGCACACACACAGATGGACAAACCATGAAGTTACTGGTGGGGATTACAGAAATGGGGGCTCAGACACCTGAAGAAAGCGAACTCCTTCAGGATGGGAGACTGGGTGACGGAGCATACCATCTACCTCCTCTTTTCTGTTGCAAATGCTCAGATTTAAACCTTCCAATTGCACTGTTAATGTTTGCAGTGAAAATACATAAGATTTAAGCATTTAAAGAAAATTTGGTATAAAACACAGGGATCGGATGGCTGAAGACAAGGTGGTTTGATTTTTGTTTTGTGACTGCAATCTTGTAATTACAGCAATAGTAATCTGTGGTACTATGCAAATACTTTGAGGCCCTTTCAATGGATGGAATTATTAGAGCACAGCAGAACAAGATTGAGCAGACCCATAAAATGGAGGTTGGAAAATTATCGCTAAGGGTAGAATTCCACAGTTAAAATGTTAAAATTCTGCCATAGATGGAAGCTTCTCATCACTTGGAAATGAAAAAGTAAATTGCCCGCAGACAGGCTAACACCTCACAATTGATACAAAAAGAAAGGCTAGTCACTGTGGTAAATTGTGTAACTGAGCTGCAAAGAAAACAGACAAAAGGAGTGTCGATTAACTCTTCAGCTGTATTCATCAGTAGGGAGTTGTTACAAACAATTGCCCCAAAGGTGTGGTCCCAAACAAAGGAATGATATCGACTAAGATACAGATAAAAGTTTCCTTGTCCCTGCTGCTTTTGTGGTTGGAGAGGTCCTGATCAGGCCAGGTCCTGTTTGCTCAACTCCAAATGGCTAGAACTCCAGAGGAGGTCAATGAAAACACCATAAAGACAATCGAAGTTCACCCTGGAATATAGCAGCACTGACAACTGGGAGCAGCGCGTCAAGATGATTCCAAACAGTGACAACTCGACCATCCAGCTGCAACACACTTCGAGTACAAACACTTTAACAATGAAGTAGATCAGTCACAAAGAAGGAAAAGGAAGAAAACCCTGCACTCCAGGCCCCACTGCCTCGCACAAATATTTTACTTCATCGGCCCAAAACTCCACGAGGTGAGAATGAGCTGCTCAGTCACACAGGGAGTCACGGTTGAACCTTGTGATCCTTAGTGGATACCATCCTCGAATCAAGATTCAGCTGTTAAAAGCCAACATTTTCTCTGACAAAGGCATACATTCGAGTTAGATGGCTTACTTTTGTTAAAGCAATTCTAACCACTATGCATTCTTTATATCCTTAATTATAGATTAAGTGTAGAAATTCATTGATATTAGGTCTATATTTTACCAGCATGACAATCCCACTATCGGTTTATATATAAAGTTGATGTTTAATGTCTGAATTGTCTCAATTGGATAAGAAGAATCAATATAAAGCTTAGGGAGCATGAGAATTTTAAAAAAACCTATTTCCATAAATAAGATAAAGAATGAAAGTTACATCATACTACATGATACAAAGAATACATTGCATCTTTCGGTTCTACTCCATGACATCAATTCACTGTCCAGATACACCTCTAGGATGTATCAGTGAGGTGGGAGTGGGCGGGTGGGGCAAGGGACTGATTATAAGTCAATAAATGTCCTGCCTCCACCCAGCCCGGAGTGAGATGTTAGATGAAGGTGCTAAACCCACTATCCAGTGGTTCATGAGGTTGCTCAGCACCTGTATGTTGGAAAGCGATCTCCCAGGGCCTTGGCCAAAATTCCACCTTCACCTAAGGCTGAAGCTGAAGCCAGTCATTGTTGTTGTCGTTGTCGTCGCCTGCAGCGTGATTGGTGACACAACCTGTCAACCCTCCTGCATTACTTCACCCATTTTTACTGCATTTGCCTTGTGGCCATCACTGCAATGTGTTATGATCCAGCTAGGGACTAATAACCTTTATTTTTTAAAGGTGAAATCTGAAAGACTTTCTAGCAGAATAAAGCCACAAGATTGCAGTTTTTAAAGAAGTTAAATGGTAATACAAGCTAAAATATGTGTAGAATGTAATCGTAACACTCAAAACTAACATGTGGATAATAGACTGTGATCAAACACATGACAGCATACATCAAATAGCAAATGTGATCAAGTTAAATCCCATGGATTTCTCAATTACTCCCCTAGATATTAACACCACTCTGGGTCATCAAGGATCACTAAAATTCATGAGAGATGGCAGTTCTTCATTTCTGTCGATTCAGCCTTAAAACTCCACCATCATGAATCACATCAGCGCCTGCTCCTGCTCTACTTGATCATCCTCCTGTCCTGGACCCTGAAACATCTAAGCCCGGTCTACACAGTTAGCTGTCTACTAACTTCTAGAGGTTGGCCTGAGTTCTAACCATACAAACGTACAACTG